GGACTTCGAGTGGCCTCCTGAGGCCTCCTGGAGCCTCGCGTGGCCTCCTGGGGCCTCCTGGGACCTCCCAGGGGGCGGAATCGTGCTCCAGGAGAGGCCCAATCTATAGGAACAGACGTACATAAAACATTGCGGATCGGAGCTGCAGGACAAGGGCAATCTGTAGGAACACACGTACAACACCAAGAACTCGTGCCCCAGGGGAGGCCCAATCTACAGGAACATACGCGAGACTTCTGGGGACCGCGCATCGAAAAAATCACGACATCGGATCTCTGGGGCGAGGGGGGCGGGGATGCAAACCCTCCGTCAGAGCATCCCTCGGGCTGGCGACCCCGCCGACCGAAGAGGAATCCAAACAGCGGGGGGCAAGGGAGAAAAAGCAGAGGAGGGAGGAACGCGGGGCAAGGAGCAGACAGATGGGGGACAGCGAAGCAGCCTGACGAAGAGCCCTCGCTGCAAGCAACCATCCGAGCGATGAATAACGCCGCCACCTCTCTCAGACATATGAAGGGGCCCTGGGACACACAAATAAATACACAAAAATAAGATGGTTTCCCGCATGTTCCCATATTCTCTGGTTGTTGTTGTCTTCCCGCCCAATTCCCATGGTTTCCTCTCTTTTCCTGGGACTCGACGATGAACTGTGTCTGTGTGTGTGTGTTTCTCTCCCTCCCGAGCATAGCAGCAGTGGCCGCGGGCTCGGCGGCCTCGCGCTGCTCCTCCCCGAGGGCGGCAACCCAGAACGGAACCAAAACATGTTGGGGCTTTACATGCGGGCAATACTTATATCCATACCTATACGACCACCCTGCGGGTGATAAGGAGGTGAGGGAGGAGGGGGAACCAACGTCTCACTCAATCGATCTCGCTATCGATCTCACATTCGGTCTCACATTCGGTCTCACATTCGGTCTCACATTCGGTCTCACATCGGGACACCATATCCATATCCAGAGCGTCGTGGACTGTTTGGGAAGAGGTGCCGCAACGCCGAGGCGCACTGGATATGGATAAAATCAAGCCTCTTGGGGCCAGATTTTTGTCCATATCCAGCGCGTCTGCGGTTTCTGGGGAAGAGAGCCCAAGAGTCCAAGACGCACTGGATGTGGATATAATGATTGCCCGCATTGTACACAGGAAGAGGGCAATCTATAGAAACGTCGGAAATCGGGGGGCGAGTCCGACGTGACACGGCCGGGAAATCGATGTCGGCTTCGGGTTCGCGTCGTGCGTGCCGTGCGCGCGTGCGGGCGAGGCGAGGCTGCGTGGGCGGGCGAGAGGAAATCCTCCTGTGGCTGGGCCGCGGCCAGACCAAATGTTTCTCCTCCGGCGGCCGGCGGCCCACGGTGTCCCGCAGGTGTCCCGCTGGTGTCCCGAAATCCTCCTGTGGCTGGGCCGCGGCCGGACCAAATGCTTCTCAGGCGGCAGGTGGCCCGCGGTATCCCGCCGGTGTCCCGTGGTGTCCCGTGGTGTCCGGTGGTGTCACGTGGAGTGCGATCGATAGTAAGATCGATAGTGAGATCGATAGTGAGATGATGAGATCGATAGTGAGATCGACAAGTGTCCCGTGGCGTCCCGTGGTGTCCCGTGGTGTCCCGTTGAGTGAGATCGATAGTGAGATCGATACTGAGATCGATGTGATGCCCGAGGTGTCCCGTGGTGTCCTGTGGTGTCCCAAAAAATGAGATCGATAGTGAGATCGATACTGAGATCGACAGGTGTTCCGTGGTGTCCCGTGGTGTCCCGTGGTGTCCCGTGGTGTTCCGTTGAGTGAGATCGATAGAAAAAAACGATTGTGAGATCGATGTGGTGTCCCCAGGTGTCCCGTGGTGTCCCGTGGTGTCCTATGGTGTCCGGTTGAGTAAGATCGATAATGAGATCGATAGTGAGACCGATAGTCCGCGGTGTCCCGTGGTGTCCCGTGGTGTCCCGTGATGTCCCGTTGAATGAGATCGATAATGAGATCGATAAAGAGATCGACAAGTGTCCCGTGGTGTCCCGTGGTGTTCCGTTGAGTGAGATCGATAGTGAGATCGATTGAGCCAGATGTTGGTTCCCCCCTCTCTCTCTCCCCCCCACAACCTCCTTATCACCCGAAGGGTGGTCGTATAGGTACGTATAACATTAAGGATTCGTGCTCCAGATGAGGCCCAATCTATAGGAGCATACGTAAACACACATGGGATTGGAGCCACCTGCTCCTGGGGCCTCTCGGGGCCTCCTGTTGCCTTTTGGGGCCTCCTGAGGCCTCCTGGAGCTTCTTGGGGCCTCCCGGAGCCTCTTGGAACATCCTGTGGCCTCTTGAGTCTTCCTGTGGCCTCCTGATGCCTCCTGGGACCTCATGTGGCCTCCTGGGGCCTCCTAGAGCCTGCTGGAGCCTCCTGTGGCATCCTGGTGAGAATATGTGCCCACGAGTCTGGCCACCATAACAGGCAAAGGAGGCCCCAGGAAGCTCCAGGAGGCCTCAGGAAACCACAGGAGGCCCCAGGAGGCCACAGGAAGCGCCAGGAGGCCCTAAAAGGCAACAGGAGGCCCCGAGAAACCCCAGGAGCAGGAGGCCTCAGAAGGCAACGGGAGTGGCTCCAATCCCATATGTTTTACGTATGCTCCTATGGATTGGGCCTCATCTGGAGCACGAATCCTTGATGCTATACGTATCCGATGCTGCCGCGCACGTCGCTGCGGCCGTCCGCGCGGCGGTGGACGCCCATGCGCCGAGGCGCACTGTCGCCGCCGTCACCCGCTCCGCGTGCTCGGCCCTGGCCTTCGCCATGGCCGCGCCGCAGGGGCCGCGTGACGCTGGCGCTGGCGCCGAGGCTCGAGGTGATGATGGCGTTCGGCCTGGGGACGACGCGGATCCCGCGGTGCGGGCTGCACGGCGGCGTCGCCGCCGCCAGCGCCGCGCGGCGCGGCGCGCGGCCGCCAGGGCGGATGCCGACCCGTCAATGGCCGTGGTGCCCCCCGCTGCGGCGGCGGTTGGCGCCGCGGCGGCCGCTGTGGCAGCTGGAGCGGGCCGTGGGCTCGCGCTGATGGCCGAGGAGGCCGCCTCCGACTCGGTCGATGATGTGATGGACGACGAGTGGGCCGACGGCCTGCATCGTGCACCTGCTGCTGCTGGAGGTTCGGCTGGAGCTGGCGGCTTGCCGCCTGCGGAGGCTGGGCCTGGTGGTGCGCGCGCTGGTGCGGCTCCTGCGGAGCCTGCTCGGGGCCTCGAGCTCGTGGAGCTCGGCCCGGCGCCTCGGGAGGGCCGATGGGTTGTCGCTGCTGCGCCTCGGCGGCGCGGCATGCGGAAGCCCCATGCGGCCCCTGGAGGCCCCGTAGGGGAGTGCCTTCGGTGGTCTGGGCCTGCTTGGGCTCGGCACGGGCTGGTTGGTGACTTCTGCGGTCGCCACAGCTGACGGCGCTTACCCTCGGGGGTATTTTCGCCTCTTGGAGGCGGCAGCTCGGCTCTCGAGCGGGGGGAGTGCCTTCGGTGGTCTGGGCCTTTTTGGGCTCGGCACGGGCTGGTTGGCGGCTCGCGTGGTCGCCTCAGCTGACGGCGCATACCCTCGAGGTGCACGGCGCGTGGCAACGGTGTGTGGCCGCCTTTGCTGGTCCTCACGGCCGCTCAAGCCGAGTGGCTGCCGCCCGCGTGACCTCCAGCGGACGGTGCATGCTGCGTGCACTGTGGCGAACGCGAAAAGAGGGGCACGAGTCCTTGGCGTCTTACGTGTGTTCACATAGATTGCCCTTGTCCTGCGGCTCCGATCCGCAATGTTTTATGCACGTCTGTTCCTATAGATTGGGCCTCTCCTGGGGCACGATTCCGCCCTAGGAGGTCCCAGGAGGCCCCAGGAGGCCACGCGAGGCTCCAGGAGTCCTCAGGAGGCCACTCGAAGCCCCAAGAGGCCCCAGGAGGCCCAAAGAGGCTCCTGTAGGCCCCAGGAGCCCCCAGGAGGGTTCAGGAGACACCAGGAGGCCCCAGGCTCATGCGCAGAGACGCGCTCGTACTACTGACTCATTCACACTCCAATTCATTCGCAGTTAGCGTCATGACCAGACCGTCACAACTCAAGCCCGCTTATAGTCGAAAACTCTTGCGCCTAGACACTCACGGCGGACAGGTCCATGCGAATAGATGCACATATGGAGAGCTCCACGCAGTGAACAATCATTATTCGTACTACTGTGATGATTCGTATTCGGCTTTTTCGTATTAGTGCTATTGTTCGCCCCTCCCTCCCGAATCCTCCCTCTCCTTCATCCCCCGAGGCCCCTGGCCCCCCATCTATGCCCAAAAGGAACCAGAGACAACCGAACGCCTGAGGGACGAGGAGGAGGAGGAGGAGGAGGCAGGGAGGCAGGGAGGGAGGACAGGATGAAGGGAAGGGTTGTTTGTTGCGCTCATCAAATTTCCCCCAACATGCCACGGAGGGACTTAAACCCGCGAGTCCGTCGCCTGAGTGGTGAAACCAAAGCCCTGAAGAGCCCTGCTCTCAAGGACGACCTCATTCCGCCCTGCGCGGGGATGGAGGCCACGTTCGAAACGACCCCGCCCGCCATTTCGGCGGCAAGCGGGGGGGGGGAGTGAGAAGGGGCGGGCCTCCTCAAAAGGCTCGAAAGCCTCCCGGCCTTCTGAGAAATGTTCTAAGCTTTCCCCGAAGACGCAGTAGACTTCTCAGAAGGCGCCAGGGCCGACGGAAGTCCCGCCGCCTTCTGAGAAGACCTTGTCCTTCTCAGTCCCCCCCCCTCGCTTGCCGCCGACCGCCGGAGGGAAGGAGGAACGGCGACGACGACGACGACGACCACGACGACGACGACGACGACGACGACGACGACGACCACGACGACGACGACGACCACGACGACGACGACGACGACGACGACGACCGCGACGACGACGACGACGACCACGACGGCGACGACGACGACGACGACGACGACGACAGCGACCGCGACGGGCGACGGCTGCAACGACGGCGGGGGCGACCGGCGGCCGGCGGCCGGCGGCGGGCGGCCTGCAGGTGGTACTGCAGCTGCCCGCGGGCCCGCTCGGAGGCGCGCAGGGCCTCCTCGTCGGCGGCGCGCACGAGGGGGCGTGGAGGGAGGGGGGAAGGCTTCTTAGAAGCACCCCTGCTTCTTAGAAGGCGCGGGCCTTCTCTGTAGACGTGAGGCCGAGGCCTTCTAAGAAGCAGGGTGCTTCTAAGAAGCCTTCCCCCCTCCCCCTACCCCCTTTTGCGCGCCGCCAATCCTCGTTGGCGGCGCGCACGAGGGGGTGTGGAGGGAGGTGGGCGGGCTTCTCTGAAGGGGCCCCAGGACACGCAAATAAATACACACAAAGAACAGGATTCCCCACATTTCCCCATATGTTTGGGGTTTCTGCCTTCCCCCCCACTGCCCATATTTTCCCATGTTTTCTGGGGAATCGACGATTAATTATGTCTGTGTGTTTTTTTCCCTCCTGATTCTCAGGAGGAGGCTGCTTCTTAGAAGGCGCCCGCCTCACATCTGTAGACAAGGCCCGCGCCTCTTCAGAAACAGGGGCGCCTCGAATCTGGACGCCCGAAAGGGGTACGGAAAAAATGGGTAGAATGCCCAACAAGAAATGTTGTCCCAAACCAACAAGGGCCGCTGCTGGACAGGCGGCCTTCTGTCTCGAATGGACACGGGCCGCGGCGGCGCGGACAGCGAATCCTGTTCAAAATGAAACAGGAACTGCTGTTGGGCATTATACCCATTCTTTCCGTGCCCATCTCGTTCGTGCAGATCTAAGAAGCCCTCCCCCCTCCCCCCACCCCCCCTGCGCGTGGCTGATCCTGGCACCGCTCCAGCTCCGCGGCCAGCTGGCGGGCGGACTGCTCGGCGCGCTCGCGCTCCGCCTGCGGCCGCTGCCGCCGCCGCCCGCCGCCGTCGCCGCCGTCGCCATCGTTGCCGCCGGCGTCGCCGTCGCCGGCGTCATCGCCGTCGTTGCAATCGTTGCCGCCGTCGTCGTCGCCGTCGCCTGCTGCGCGCGGTGCCGCTCATGGAGGCTGCGCAGCGCCCGCAGCAGCACCCGGTTGGCGCCCTGCCGGTGGGGGGCGGCAGCCACGTCGAGCGCCGTCGAGGACGTGGGGGGCGACCACGAGGACGAAGAAGAGGACCAGTCATAGTCACCACCACCACCCTCATTACCTTCGTCAGCGTCGTCGTCGCCGCCATGAGCAGCATCAAGATACCCCTCATCCTCAAGGGCATCAGAGGCGTGCGAGGGGAGAACTTGCACTTCGAACTCATCAATGCTCTCCTGCCTCTCCTCTGCCACCCGCCGACACCATGCCTCTTTGTGAACCGACCCCGCACCCCCCCTCTCCAGCCTAATCTGCGGCACTCTGTGACACTCTGTTCTGCAAGCCCCCCATCTCGCCATGTTCGGCCTCCAATTCGACCAGGTAGCCCCACCCTCTGCAACTCTCCTCCTGGACCCCCCCCACGCCACACAAATTCTAGCCCAGAAGCCATGCTGACCCCCATCTGCCCTTCACCTGGCCTCCAGCTCAACCCGGCATCCTCGCCATCTGGAACTCTCCCGCTGGAGCCCCCCCGACCCAACAAACTCCTCGCACGGAACCAACCCTGACCTGCCACCTGGCCTCCCCCTAGCCTTCACCTGGCCTGCAGCTCGCCCCGGCAACTCCCACCATCTGAAACTTCTCTCTTGGAACCTCCAACCCTAAAATCTCTCGCCCGAACCTGACCCTGATCCCTCACCCCGCCTTCTCCAGGCCTCCACCTCGCCCAGGCAGCCCCGCCCTGGGAAATCTCCCTTGGACTGCACCCCAACACCACAATTCTCACCAGGAACCGACCCTGATCCCCCACCTGCCCTTCACTTGGCACCCAGAGGGACCCGATGAGGTTCTGGAGAAGTGAAAAAAAAAACGCCCCGCCATCCCGCGTCAATTCTCACTGTTTTGCACGTATCCACGAAACCACTGCAATAAAAGAGGTCAACATCGGGGTACCAAGGGTGGCTCCGCACAAATGTTAAGGCAGTGCCTCCTCGGAAACAGATACATACCTCCAACACATATGGCATGCAGGAGTCAAAATGTGCGGCGTAAACTTCCAGAGCAAAACACACCCAATTAGCCTGGCGAAGAACCCAACTAGATGCAGTTTTGAGTACCGCAATTTTAGGTATCGTCTTCCGTGGAGCTCAATATGGACCACGAAACGCCATGCTGGGTGCGGGAGACGCACGCGAACTGCGCCAGCTGGGACCCTCGGTGGAGCGCTGTACTGGATGGGGGGGACACATGCGAACTGCGCCACTGGGACCTCCGGTGGAGCTCACTCTGGGACCACGAAGCGCTGTACTGGGCGGAGGGGGGCGCGTGCGAACTGTGAGTGCCGCGTTGTGGGTACCGCGTTGTGGGTACACCTCTCGGTGGAGCTCCCTACGGGGCCACGACCCCCGTGAGGGGCGTGCCGAAATATGCGGGGGGGCGCATGCGGACCCTGCCGCGGGAGCGGTCGGTGGAGTTCCCTATGGGGCCGCGATCCTCGTGAGGGGTGTGCCGAAATGGGCGGGGGGGCGCATGCGGACCCTGCCGCGGGGTCTTTCGGTGGAGCTCCGTATGGGGCCACGATCCTCGTGAGGGGTGTGCCAAAATGAACTGGGGTACGCATGCGGACCCTGCCGCTGGGGCCTTCGGTGGAACTCCCTATGTGACCACGATCCTCGTGAGGGGTGTCCCGAAATGTGCGGGGGGGCGCATGCGGACCCTGCCGTTGGGGCCTTTGGTGGAGCTCCCTATAGGCCCACGATCCTCGTGAGGGGTGTCCCGAAATGGGCGGGGGGGAAAGCATGCGGACCCTGCCGCTGGGACCTTCGGAGGAGCTCCATGGGGCCACGATCCTCGTAAAAGGTGTGCCGAAATCGGCGAGGGGGACGCATGCGGACCCTGCCGCTGGGGCCTTCGGTGGAACTCCCTATGGGGCCACGATCCTCGTGAGAGGTGTGCCGCAATGGGCGGGGGGACGCACGCGGACCCTGCCGCTGGGGCCTTCGGTGGAACTCCCTATGTGGCCACGATCCTCGTGAGGGGTGTGCCGAAATGGGCGGGGGGGCGCGGACCCTGCAGCTGGGGCCTTTGGTGGGGCTCCCTATGGGGCCAGGAACCGCGTGAAGGGTGTTCCAGAATGGGATGGGCATGCGGAGAGCAGAGGCAAGGGATGGGAGGAGGGATGAAAGGGAGGAAAGAAGGAGGCGGGAACGCGGGGCGCTGTCAACAAGGGCCCAACACTACAGGATGGCTGGGAAAACGAGAGCCCAACACCACAGGACCGCTGGGAAAAACGCCGTCGATCCGTGCAGCGCTACATGCGTTGGAACTTCGGGCCTTTCAAACTTGCAGCGTCCAAAACTCGGATAGCAGCGCAGTCCGACGCGCATGAAACGCCTGAGACGCTTGCAAAGACGCTGGAAAGCACGCGCGAGGAGCTGGAAAGCTCCGGATGAAAGGGAGCTGCGCCGGAGCTCCCAACGAGCTTCGAAGGAGCTGCGGAAGGGCTCCCAGCACGCGTCTCGGCGACGAGTAGGAACGCGCCCCCGGGGCCCGCTGGAATCTCAAGGAGGGCACTGCGAGGCTGCCTACCCTGGAGCCCTGGAGAGAGGCTGGCGTAGTCCTCTTATATAATAATCCTCTTAGCTCTACAAGGAGGCTGGCCACGCAGCACGACCCGAACGCAGAGTCCTGTGCCGCTCTGCGCAAGCAGACGGCACCTGAGCGTCACGGAAAAGTTGACTGGCGCGCGCAGCGCCGGCGCACGCTGGCCGAAAACGCAGCACAACCCGGGCGCCCAGCTCTGCGCCGCTCTGGACAAGATGACAGCACCCGAGCACCGCAGGGCTGCTGTCTGCAGCCAGGGCGCCCGCTGCGCCGGCGCAGGCTGGCCGACGACGCAACGCGACCCGAGCGCATCCGATGCGCGCGAGCAGACGGCACCTGAGCGTCACCGGGATACTGGTTGTAGCACTGGGGCGAGTGCCGCGCCGGCCCCCGCGCTCCTTCGCCAAGCGGATTTCCTAACCACCGGCGGGGCCGACAACGGCGCAACATGCGCAGCGGCAGCGTTCGATTCCGCCGCCGACCCCGCCCCCGATGATGCCGCGGAGGACACCCCGATTGAGTTCCACTGCGTCTGATGCCCATTTAGTTTACGACACAACTTGTCCCGCGCAGCCTCCCAGCTCTTCAACGCCCGGGCAGCCTTCTGCTCCGCCTCGCGGGCACTCGCTGCGACTTTCCCGTCAGCGCCCCCTTCGACGAGTTGCATCTCGCCCCGCGCGCGCTGCACTTCGGCCGCGGATCGAGCGCAGCACTCACCTGCGGCGACACGATCCACTTCGGCCCGCCTCGCCTCTTCAGCGGGGCACTTTCCCTGAAGTTGCGCACGACGCTCGGAAGCAACTGTTATTTCCAGCCTGCTGGCGAGCTCCCTCACCTCAGCCGTCGCCGCGGAAGACTGCTCGGCCGCCGCCGCCTGCTGCGCTCCCCCAGGAACCGCGCGGCAGTCGCAATTGCTTCCGGTCTCGCTCCATCTGAAGGGCAGCAACCGCTCGTTGCTGCAACTCCGACTGTCACGATTGCTCGCGCATCTCTGCCATGTCTCTCTCCCTGACCTCCACGATCTCGAACCTCTTCATTTCCTTTGCATCTCGCCACTCCGCGCGTAAGCCAGCGCAGTCATGCGCATTCGGGGCAGCGCGCGCTGGACATGAGAAGTTCAAATTGCAGAGGCCTCAGACACCCGAGCATTCGTAACAGACTGGCTCCACGCACTGTCCCCGAGCGCATCTCGGTCCGTAGTTGGCGCGCGCAGCGTTGATGCGCATGCTGAATGCACTCGGCCTACCCGATAGGTTGGACAGATCGGTCACCTCCGATCGCGGCCATGGGGACTTGGGTCTTGCCCCTCTCAGGCGTCTCAGACGCCGAAGTCGACGGTTTGCACCTCGCCCGAGAATGACGCGGCGGGCGCCCGAGCGCATAGCTCCCAGACCCCCCCCCCCGAAGCGGACACAGGGCCGCGCTCTGGAGCGCCGTAAGATCTGCTCCGCTTACCGAGCGGCGATACCACAGAAGAACCAACCAGTTCACGTATTCGCATACTCGCTGTCCTTTCAGGGCCGCCCACTGGTTCACCTTCAGCGATCTCCTCCAAATTCCGCCCCAAAGAATTGTCGGATGGGATCGCGGCCCCCTCGCCGCACGTCGAAGGGCACCTGTGTAGGGGTCCGGCAACCGCCTGGCAGGACTGGGGGCCCGCGGCCATAGGCCTCGCCCCCTCCATCGCGTGGCTGATAAGCTTCGCGGTAGACGATGGGTCTCGACGTCGATCTGCAACAGAAATTCCCTCTCGGCGAGAATGATTCCACGTCGCGCCCACCGCCCGAGAGGCCGATGGGGGCCTCAAATCGATCATCGATCGGAACAATCAAGATCTTCCTCACCGCCCGCGTGCCAGTTGAGCTCCGCGTCGCCCTTCACCGTCGGAGTGCCCGGGCGAGGCTCGCCATCGAAAGAGATGTCCAAGCTGATTTCGGAGTGAGGACGTTGACTCGGTTCTCCGACATAGCCGGCTGAATCTGCCACAGGAACATTCACACCCAAGCCGTGGCGCGATCCTTCTTCTGGTCGCACATATTTCATAGATGGTTGAAACATGAATCACTATCAGATGGTGCCACTTTCATAGTTGATAGAACGTTCGCCTGATAGCCCGCAGTTATCCAGTTCCCCGTAAGGATGGGGGCATTCTCAGCCCAACTGATCGGCAAAACGTGTCATTGCTCATCTTGTTGTTCTTCATCATGTTCATATTGAAACAGTCTCTTGCCCAGGTTCAGGTGGTGGAGTGGAGGCGCACTTCTTGTTGCCGTGGCGAAAAGTGTGCCCAGGGGCCGTTGAGCTTGTGAGTACGACAGACAGACGAGGCCCGGCCGGCCGGGCGCGCGCGCGAGGCGGGGCGCGGCGCCCTTTTGCCATCGCAGCCAAAACTGCTGCAGGCATGCAATTTCTA